AACCTAACCTAACCTAACCTAACCTTTTTTTTTTTTTTTTTTTTACGGGGGGAAATCCTCATGGACTACCTCCGCCTGGGGAAAGGCGGAGGGGCGTGCCGGACTCTTACCGGCTAAAACCACCCCGGTGTCAACTCACACGTGCGCGTGGGGCCGCGGGAATCCAAATTCTTCCGCAGCCCCACACTAGTGCTGGCCCGGTCCGTCCAGGCCTCGTCTCCTGCACGGGGTAGTGAGGTGTTAAACTACCCCGTGTATCGCCTCAGGGGCGCGCACCGACACCCGCGCGCGCCTCCGCCTCGGGTCCATCGAGTAGGGGTGGCGGGGGCTTCCCCAATTCCCTCGCCCCTGGACCCATTTATGGGGGCCGGAAAAGGGCGTTGTCCGCCCTTCTCCTGCGCCCGGTGCGCCTTCTGCGGCCAGGAAAGGGAGTCGAGATCTCCCTTTCCCGTTCCGCAGTTTCCTTCTGCGACATCACGTCCTCGCAGAAGGACACCACTGCATCCCACGACTCTGCGCTACCGACCATCTTCTGCACTAAGGCCGGCAGCGACAGATCGCCTCCTACTTTATTTGTGAGGACACGGCGCTGCTCCTCCCAAGCTACACACTCGGCGAGCGTGTGTTGCGCCGTGTCCTCCCCGCAATGGACGCAGTGGTGACACCGAGCGTCCGGCTCCCTGTCTATGCGGCGCAGGTACTTGCCGAAGCAGCCATGCCCCGACAGCACCTGCGTCACCCTAAACGACAGGGAGCCGTGCCTTCTCCCGAGCCAGTCGTCGAGTACTGGCCGGATCGCCTCGACGGTAGCGAGGCCGGCGGTAGGGCGCAGAAGCCTTTGCCGCCATTCCGCCACCAAGACCTGACGGAGCTCCTCTCGGCGCAGCGCGATCTGCCGCTGCACCGGCCTCGAGCCCCGTGCCCGCTCTTCCTCGCGCCATCGATATAATGACGCGAGTACTTTCGCCTCTAGGTCCCAGGGCGGGGATCCGGCCAGGACGCAAGCCGCCTCGTAGGAAATCGTGCGATACCCACGGACGACTCTGACGGCCATCGCCCTCTGCGGTTTACGCAGAATGGCAAGAGTGCTGGCCGTCATGTCCATCGCCCACACAGGGGCCCCATACAGGGCCATGGACCGCACGATTCCCACGTACAACCGCCTACAGGCGGCGCTCGGGCCCCCCAAGTTGGGAAGCAACGTTGATAGCGCGCCCGCTGCACCCATCAGCTTGGGCGCCAGCCGCCGGAAGTGGGGTCCGAATTCCCATCGGCTGTCGAGCACCAATCCCAGATACTTCATGGTGGACTCGACAGCTATCCGGGCCCCGCAGACCACGATGTGTGAACCCGGCGGCGGCGCGCGTCGAGGGCCATGGAACACCATGGCCTCCGACTTATTTAGGGCCACCTCCAGGCCCAGGCGCCGGATGCGGTTCACCACTTGTGACACCGCAGCCGTGGCAACCAACGCTGCTTCCCTGTGTGAACTCCCCCGGGCAGTGACGAGCGTGTCGTCCGCATAACACGTCAAGTCGGCGCCCGACGGGAGTTCACCTCTCAGCACCCAGTCGTAGCCGATGTTCCACAGGAGCGGTCCCAAGACCGATCCCTGCGGAACACCGCACGACATGACGCGCCGACCAACCTAACCTAACCTAACCTAACCTAACCTTTTTTTTTTTTTTTTTTTTTTTACATGGGGAAATGCTACGCATACCCGCCTCGCGGGGGCAAGGACGGGTTATGTCGGACTCGCACCGACTAAAACCCCATGGTGTTCCACCCTTGTCGCATATTGGCAGGGCCACGGGAACGCTTTCGCACACTTCCGCGGCCCCACCTGCGCTGGCCGCCCCATGGCGGCCCCTCCTCGGGAGAGGAACACTCCTCCCCCATCTCCTTCTCAGGTAAGGCGCACCAGAACACATGGTGCGCCTTCCTCCTCGGCCTCCAATTTCTAATGCGCAACGGACGCCCCCGTGTCCGATGCGCGAAGGCCATGGGGCCAGGAAAAACTAGCACTCAGAAGCACCGGCCTTCCTGGCCCCAGCGGCGGATCTGGTCTCGGGCTCCGCCGCCAACCAAGTTTCGGCCGCGGAGGGTAGGGAGAGCGGCGCCTCGCAATACCGACACTCCTCTCCCCCCGCGGCCCCACCACCACCGCATCAACGGTGCGGCCCCGTTTGAGTCGCGGAGGATAGGGCGAGTGGCGCATCGCCATACCAACACTCCTCTTCCTCCGCGACTCCACCTCGGCTGCAGCGGTAGAGGGTGCGGACTCCCCTCTCACCGCAGCCCCCCGACACACATCCGAAGTGGGCTTCCCAAGCCCACTCGGAGTGGCCACCTCGGGCCGGCCCTACACCACGGGCCAGCCAAGGGGTTCCTCTTTGTTCACCGTGGGTGACCAAGCCACGGCTACTAAGCCCCCCCGCCACGACAAGGCGGGAACCCGTTCGGGGGGGAACCTAACCTAACCTAACCTAACCTTTTTTTTTTTTTTTTTTTTTACATGGGGAAATGCCTACGCATACCCGCCTCGCGGGGGCAAGGACGGGTTATGTCGGACTCGCACCGACTAAAACCCCATGGTGTTCCACCCTCGTCGCATATTGGCAGGGCCACGGGAACGCTTTCGCACACTTCCGCGGCCCCACCTGCGCCGGCCACCCCATGGCGGCCCCTCCTCGGGAGAGGACCACTCCTCCCCCATCTCCTTCTCCGGTAAGGCGCACCAGAACACATGGCGCGCCCTCCTCCTCGGCCTCCAATTTCATATGCGCAACAGACGCCCCCGTGTCCGATGCGCGAAGGCCATGGGGCCAGGAAAAACTAGCACTAAGAAGCACCAGCCTTCCCGACCCCAGCGGCGGATCTGGTCTATGGCTCCGCCGCCAACCAACATTCGGCTGCGGAGGGTAGGGAGAGCGGCGCCTCGCAATACCGACACTCCTCTCCCCCCGCAGCCCCACCACCACCGCATCAATTAACGGTGCGGCCCCGTCTGAGTCGCGGAGGATAGGGCGAGTGGCGCATCGCCATACCAACACTCCTCTTCCTCCGCGACTCCACCTCGGCTGCAGCGGTAGAGGGTTGCGGACTCCCCTCTCACCACAGCCCCCCGACACACATCCGAAGTGGGCTTCCCAAGCCCGCTCGGAGTGGCCACCTCGGGCCGGCCCTACACCTCGGGCCAGCCAAGGGGTTCCTCTTCGTTCACCGTGGTTGACCAAGCCACGGCTACTAAGCCCCCCCGCCACGACAAGGCGGGAACCCGTTCGGGGGGGAACCTAACCTAACCTAACCTAACCTTACCTAACCTAACCTTTTTTTTTTTTTTTTTTTACATGGGGAAATGCCTACGCATACCCGCCTCGCGGGGGCAAGGACGGGTTATGTCGGACTCGCACCGACTAAAACCCCATGGTGTTCCACACTCGTCGCATATTGGCGGGGCCACGGGAACGCTTTCGCACACCTCCGCGGCCCCACCTGCGCTGACCGCCCCATTACGGCCCCTCCTCGGGAGAGGAACACTCCTCCCCCATCTCCCTCTCAGGTAAGGCGCACCAGAACACATGGTGCGCCCTCCTCCTCGGCCTCCAATTTCCAATGCGCAGCAGACGCCCCCGTGTCCGATGCGCGAAGGCCATGGGGCCAGGAAAAACTAGCACTAACAAGCACCAGCCTTCCCGACCCCAGCGGCGGATCTGGTCTATGGCTCCGCCGCCAACCAAGATTCGGCTGCGGAGGGTAGGGAGAGCGGCGCCTCGCAATACCGACACTCCTCTCCCCCCGCAGCCCCACCACCACCGCATCATTCAACGGTGCGGCCCCGTCTGAGTCGCGGAGGATAGGGCGAGTGGCGCATCGCCATACCAACACTCCTCTTCCTCCGCGACTCCACCTCGGCTGCAGCGGTAGAGGGTTGCGGACTCCCCTCTCACCACAGCCCCCCGACACACATCCGAAGTGGGCTTCCCAAGCCCACTCGGAGTGGTCACCTCGGGCCGGCCCTACACCTCGGGCCAGCCAAGGGGTTCCTCTTCGTTCACCGTGGTTGACCAAGCCCCGGCTACTAAGCCCCCCCGCCACGACAAGGCGGGAACCCGTTCGGGGGGGTACCTAACCTAACCTAACCTAACCTAACCTAACCTAACCTTACCTTTTTTTTTTTTTTTTTTTTACATGGGGAAATGCCTACGCATACCCGCCTCGCGAGGGCAAGGACGGGTTATGTCGGACTCGCACCGACTAAAACCCCATGGTGTTCCACCCTCGTCGCATATTGGCAGGGCCACGGGAACGCTTTCGCACACTTCCGCGGCCCCACCTGCGCCGGCCACCCCATGGCGGCCCCTCCTCGGGAGAGGACCACTCCTCCCCCATCTCCTTCCCCGGTAAGGCGCACCAGAACACATGGCGCGCCCTCCTCCTCGGCCTCCAATTTCATATGCGCAACGACGCCCCCGTGTCCGATGCGCGAAGGCCATGGGGCCAGGAAAAACTAGCACTAAGAAGCACCAGCCTTCCCGACCCCAGTGGCGGATCTGGTCTATGGCTCCGCCGCCAACCAAGATTCGACTGCGGAGGGTAGGGAGAGCGGCGCCTCGCAATACCGACACTCCTCTCCCACCGCAGCCCCACCACCACCGCATCATTCAACGGTGCGGCCCCGTCTGAGTCGCGGAGGATAGGGCGAGTGGCGCATCGCCATACCAACAATCCTCTTCCTCCGCGACTCCACCTCGGCTGCAGCGGTAGAGGGTTGCGGACTCCCCTCTCACCACAGCCCCCCGACACACATCCGAAGTGGGCTTCCCAAGCCCACTCGGAGTGGCCACCTCGGGCCAGCCAAGGGGTTCCTCTTCGTTCACCGTGGTTGACCAAGCCACGGCTACTAAGCCCCCCGCCACGACAAGGCGGGAACCCGTTCGGGGGGGAACCTAACCTAACCTAACCTAACCAGTTACGTAAGATCATATAGGACCGTATCACTGCACTCGGCCCTACTACTCGCCGGGCTACTTCCATTGGATATAAGAATCCGGGAAGCAGCCTCTCTTTATGTAATAAAGAAAGGCCTTTCCCGGCGAATAGTGGGAGATCGAGAAGCAGAGTGTAAAATTAACTTTTCGGAGACCCCACATCCCGCGGATCAGGTCGGACTGAAGTTTGAATGTCTGGAAGACGGTGCAGAAATAGACCGGAACGACAACATTGGCTTAAAAATATACACCGACGGTAGTAAAATTGAGGGAAAAGTCGGCGCGGCATTATCCATCTGGAAAAATGCCACGGAGACAAATACCCGTAAACTGAAACTGGAAAATTTCTGCACCGTCTACCAGGCAGAGTTGCTGGCCATTCTCGAAGCAACCAGATATGCATCAAAAACTGTCATACCAAATTGCAATATATATAGTGATTCGAGATCAGCTCTCTCAACAATTGTACAAGACCTTTCCCTCCATCCCCTAGCGGTGGAAGCAAGAGGCAACATAACTAAAATAAATAGACAGGGTAAAACCCTTAAACTTTTTTGGGTAAAAGCTCACGCAGGATTGGAGGGAAATGAGAGAGCAGTCAAACTAGCGAAAGAAGCTGCTACAAAAATTAAAAGGAAAGCAGATTATGAAAAGTGTCCGATTTCATACGTCAAGCGACAAATCCGATTGGAATCGCTTGACGAATGGAACCGGCGCTATGTGGAAGGGGAAACGGCGTCAACAACAAAAGTCTTTTTCCCGGACCCAATTAAAGCCTACCACATAATAAAGAAAATCGACATGGATCCGATGACGGTTCAAATTATGACAGGACATGGGGGATTCTCCGAATACTTGTATAAATTTAAGTGTAAGGAGAGTCCCGAATGTGCCTGTGATCCAACTAAAAATGAAGACATAATACATGTTATCACAGAATGTCCAATTTATAGCCGAGAAAAATACAACACAGAAATGGCATTAAATATAAAAATAAGTAAAGAAAATGTACATGAAATTATAGGAAATAAGCACATTAGAAATAAGTTCTTAGAATATTGTAAGGATATAGCAAATAAAATAGTAAATAAAAATAAATAGTATGTAAAAGGGAACTGTAACACAATATATATAAGTATACAGTGTAAACAGTCCCACATAATAAATAGATATAAGAACAAACCTTTGAAAAAATGTAAAAACTAAATGTAATGTGTAAAGAAAAAATATATTAAATAAATAAAAGAATAAAATGACAAGGTGAAAAAAGAAACACGAAACGATGAAAAAAGTCCCTGAGTACCACATGTCAGGGGAACTAGAATAAAAAAAAAAAAAAAAAAACCAGTTACGTTCCGCCCGCCGACGCGTACGCCACGTTTTTGTATCGCTCCTGTGTCTAAAAATCCCTAAAAATAGACAAAGTGCTCTGATTTTCGTGAAATTTTCTGTGTAGGTGTGTTTTGTGCTGTGCTCTCCTGTTGTTGTGTTTGTTCAGTGGTTTCTGAAGATTTGGGTCGTTTTCGCTGAAATATTCTCTCTGGAATAACCTAAAAACTGCAAAAGGTAACATTTTTATCATACTTTTGCTTACGCTGCCCAATTAAGATCTATGACCTATATGGTTTTTTATGTCATCTTGTAGGTCTTATTGGTGCCCACCTATCCCCACTTATTTCAGATTTTTTCGCCCAACAACCACTGAACTATAACACTTTTTTTAAAAACCACGTGGCGTGGAAATTTTTTTCTAAAAGCCTGTGCTTATTTTTGAGAACGCCATTGGATGGGGCACATCTTTAGCAACACAATAAAATTTTGTTCATGAAAATCGCACTTGAGACCACGTAATTATAGATTTTTAACCTGTTTTCATTTATTATGAACAAATTCTAGGTCAAATAATTTGAATTTTTCAGTGACTATCTATATTTTTTAATACATTTTACTGTCGGCAATTTAGTTATAAAACTTTTCACAAAAATTTAGATTTTTCCGTTTTGGCAATTAAGAGATATACATTTTTTAATCAAAAAGCACTTTCACGAGGTCCCACTTCCAGACTTCTGCGGCTATTTCTAGATAGACCCTACAATAGATATATAATTTTGTTCAAATTTCCGTTTTTAGAATTCGATTAGCTCATTTAGTTCCATAAATACGTAATTTTTTGTATATTTTTTGTATTTTCCCGTTATTAATTGTAATTAAATAATAATTTTATAAATTACATAAAAGTTTCACAATCCTCTAATTAAGAGCTATCCGTAGATACCAAACTCGAGTACTTTATCTTTATAATCTCCAAAGTTAGCTAAATCGGAACTAATAGGTCGCCATATTGGAAATTATATTTTTTGAATTTCTCAGGAAGTAACCGGTCAAAAGAGGCCGTGTTTGGTCTCAATTTGGTTGGGAGAGATCAGGGAAGGCGGTCAATTGCTTAGTGAGAGAAAAAATTTTAGGTGGCCCACTAACTCAAAAACACATTTTCCTCATTGTTCCCTACAGATTGAGTCCAAGCTCGAGCCATTTCGGAGAATAAACACCGTGCTGGCAACGAAAACAATAATCAGGTCGGCCATATTGGAAATCTTATTTTCGTGATATCTCGTGAACTACCTGGCCAAAACTGGCCGTGATTGGACTTATATCATTCAGGAGAGTTCAGGGAATGCGGTAGTTTGGCTAGCGCATAACAAAACTTTAGGAGGCCCACTACCCCAAAAACACGTCCTCTGTATTATTCCCTACGGATCGATTCCAAACTCGAACCATTTTGATCAATAAACACCTTCTCGGCAACGAAAATAGGAATTAGGTCGGCCATATTGGAAAATTTTGATTGTTAATTACTCAGGAACCACAAAGCCTAAACTACCCGTGCTTGGGTTCAAATTACTGGGTATTGTACAAGCAGTGGTTCCTGAGAAAGAAGAATATACCAATTACGGTCGCCATATTGGAAAAATTAAGAACTTAATATCTCTGCAACCACTTGTGCAAACATACTCGAGTTTGGGTTCTTTGGTACCGTCGTCTTGAGGACTATTCAAAAAAAACAAAGTATGTCAGACAAATCAAAAAAATCGGTGTCAGGTGGTTCCGAAAGACACACGGGCCTAAAGAAAAGACCAACAGTTGCAGCAAAAATCGCAAAAGAGCCTAACAAAACACCACCCACCATACAACCCTTGGAGCAAGTAACCCAGCAGGAACAAGAGGTTTCAGCTCCGGAATCCACGGACAGGGTTGAGCAACAAAAGGGTTATCAAATAAGCGAACCGTCCGAGAAGCCTGAAATAGACTCAGCTTCGAGCTTCTTCTCACCACCTAAACTCGATGAGGCAACCACTTCATCCCCCGTTCTCACAAGAACTGGATCAAACCTACTGAGAATACGCACTCAAATAAAGCAGGCAAAAGCTGCAGAAGCTCAAGAAATTCTAAGAGCAATGTCAGAGGCTGAAGAAACAGGTGACTCGGACGTAGACAGCGGTGACACCAATATTTCACTAGACGCTTCAACAAGATCAATAGGAGGGAGTCGCATGCTGCTCAACGAACTGCCTAGACACGCAAATGAGATTCTACAAAGGGCCAAAGCAGACCTGGAAAAGTCGGGTAACCTTAAGAGGGAGATTCGAGAAAGTGTTGTAGCTGGTCTGTACACGCTTTATGAGATGATCCTAAAGTTATCCGACTCCCGAATGCTTCATATGTTAGAATCAAGCAAGCAAAAAGCAAATGTCTCACGTGAATCTGAAAGGCTAACTCAAAGGCATGCAAGATTTATGCATGAGACTTTGGGCCAGTACGCTCTACTGAAAGACAGCATAGAGAAGCTGCAAAAGGAAACCGAGTCCACTAGACTTATAGTTTCGTATGATCTTTGTGAAGCAATGACTGCAACAAGGCGAGAGATCACAAACATACGGAGCGACACAAACTTGGACTCTAATGTTGCAAATCAGCTACGGACTATTACGGAAGAAATAAAGCAACTGCGAGGAGACATGATGTCTTCACACAAGCCGGTCACTCTAGAAGAGCGACAGTTCCCTATTGCCGAGGAATTAGGAGAGCTTCGGCGAATTACCCAGGAGCTTTCCACCAAAACCAAACAAAGTATGTCACCTAATAGGGGCGAGGAAACTATCAGAATAGAGCAGCTTGCAAAGACCACCACAGAATTGCAACAGCACATAACAGACACAAAAGTACACCTAACTGCAGACGTGCAAGAATTAAAAAAAGAAATTCATTCGATATCACAAGACATCAAAAGTCTAGCTGCAATCTGCTCAAGCTCCTCAATTCCATCAGTTCAAGCCAGTTTGGAAGAACTCAGGAAAGATACAAAAGAGCTTAGAGATACTGCACTTGATTCAACGGCACCAATAAGGGTAGCCATTGAGAGCCTCAGGACTGAACTCAAACAAAGAACAGATATTGAAGGAACAGAGCTAAGAGGCTTCTCACACCTGCCCGGAGAAAATGATACTGAGCGATATCAGCACACACTAATGCTTCAACAGAAAAAATTTCCACGCTCCTTCTCAGAGGTAGTTGCAAAACCAAATTACTTGATTGATCCCAGACGGACAAGTGATGACGTAATAAAGCAGATTAAGGGCGGGGTCGACGTGGTTGACTTAGGCATCGGCATCAACCATATTAGAAAGGCAAAGAACCAGAAAGTCCTCATCAGCTGTGAGTCTGAAGGAGACAGAAATACACTTCAGGACCAACTTAAAAGCACAGTCAATCAGCTTACCGTTCACAGGCCAGCCACAAAATTCCCGCTTATACGCTTAACAGGAGTCGTCTTCGACTTGACGGATGGGAAGATCGTAGAGGCCGTGATGAAACAAAACGCTACACTTCTAAACGACATCCCAGCATCACAAAACCACAATAAAGTAATTAGGAGAACTAAAGGTCGCACAAGTTCCACGTGCAATGTCATCCTAGAGGTAAGCCCACAAATCTGGACGAGACTACAAAACCAAAAAGTCTGAATAGGCTTCCAAATAGTACCAGCCACAGACCAATCACCGGTAATACAGTGTTATCGATGCCTAGGTTATTCTCATCTAGCGCGAGAATGCCAAGTTCAGAAAATCGCATGTGGGTACTGTGCTGAATCGCATGACACAAGAGAGTGCTGCAATAAAAACAAAGTACCCAAGTGTATAAATTGCATAGATAGAAAGGAAACTGATGCCAACTGTGCCCATCCCGCTTATAGCCCGGAATGCCCGGAGTGGCGTAAATGGGACCGGATTGCCCGAGCAACCATTTCATACTGCTAAAGGCACTGAAGTCTTCCCACAAAAGCATTCAAGGGCTATAAAAATTGCACAAGTCAACCTTGGCAGAGGATACGCAGCGTTACAGGAATGCTTAAAAACGGCGGAATCGCAGGGAATATCAATAATCCTAGTACAGGAACCTTACGTAGGTGCTAAGGCACATGTTACTTGTAGGCACAGAGTTATCCAAAAGCAAACTAATGATACTCAAAAACCCGTCAAATCTGCGGTCATTGTCGTTGATTCGTCCGTACAGTACACTGTAAATCCTGATATTATTACAGAAAATATTGTTGCATGTAAATTTAAAATATATAACCACTATGTTGCGTTTATTAACATATACATGGAAGAGGCTCAAGACGTCGAACAAGACCTAAGAATAATTTCCAACTACAGAAACATTCTAGACTCAGAAAATATAATCATTGGAGGAGACCTTAACGCAAAGAGTCCCTGGTGGGGTTGCGATGTGGAGGACAGACGGGGAACAGCTATATCGGAATCATTTGCACAGCTGAAACTACATATACTGAACACAGGGAAAACACCAACCTTCTGGGCACATAGAGGAAATAGAGATTATACCAGCATCGTCGATGTTACTGCATGTTCAAATGGTCTACTCAACAAAATAACGAACTGGAGAGTCAACCCTGATTTTGTCACCTTATCGGACCACAGAGCTATAACGTATAGTGTTAACCTCGAAAAAATAACGGCAGAAGCCACTCAGAGACAAACTACACGTATCTATAATACAGGGAAAGCAGACTGGGCAAGTTTCACCCATTTTCTGAAGGAGGAACTAAAAGTACTGAAGATCACCGAGGAATCCATCACTGAAATAGGAAACACAGACGCTTTAGAAGATCTTGTACAACAATACGTTGATTGCATTCAGAGATCCTCCGACAAAGCTATTCCAAAGCTGGCAAAAACCATCAGCGCAAAGACTCCATGGTGGACAAAACAACTAAGCGACAAGAAAAAAGATGTAATCCGAAAAAGAAGGAAAATCAAACATGCCAACCAGAACAGAAGACAATCAGTGATTGAAGATTATATAACTGCCAAAGCAGAATACAAAAATCTCCTGACTGACACTCTCACTTCAAGCTGGAAAGACTTCTGTAAAAAACAAGACCGTGAAAATTTGTGGCAAGGGATATACAGGATCATAAGGAAATCGAGCAGAACTCCGGAGGATACATTGTTACGAGAAACGACAACTAGTAAGATAATGACCTCGGAAGAGTCTGCTAAAATATTATCTGAAACTTTTTATCCATATGACGATATCGAAACGGATGAACAACCACACTCAGAGATGCGACAAAAGGCTGAAACAATCAAGAAAGAATGGGCGAAGATCACCAAAGAAGATACCACAAAACCATTTACAAACACTGAGGTAGAATTTATTCTTCAATCAATGAGCCCTCGGTAATCGCCAGGAGAAGACAGTCTTACAGCCGACATATGTTACAAAGCTTATGCGGCTCTTCCACAGATACTCTTGGCAATTTACAACAAATGCCTTGCACTTGGACACTTTCCAAAAACCTGGAAAAGCGCAATAATTAAAGTCATCCCAAAGCCTAACAAGGAGAACTACACACTTCCAAAATCATATCGGCCAATAGGACTCTTACCTGTACTGGGAAAGAGGCTTGAAAAACTATTCGTTAATCGAATGACCTGGCAGATTGGCTCTGAAAATAAAATGAGCGGTAGGCAATACGGGTTTGTCTCACAGAGAGGGACTGAGGACGCCCTATGCGACGCCCTTGAGGTTGTCAGGCAGGGTTTAAAAAAGAGTGAAATTGTTGTGATTGTCTCCATTGACATTGAAGGAGCTTTCGATAACGCTTGGTGGCCCGCAATGATTAATGAGCTTGATAAGAAAAAGGTTGACAAATCTGTATGTAGGCTAATCGGAAGTTATCTCACAGATAGACAAATAAAATTAACATACGCAGGTAGTGAGATAATAAAACAAACCAACAAAGGATGCATACAAGGATCTACTTGCGGACCTCTGCTGTGGAACCTGCAACTTGACCCATTACTAAGGGAGGTAGAAGAACTAGGCACCCACATACAAGCGTACGCAGATGACATATTGGTCATTGCGAAAGGGAAAGCAGTAAAGGACCTAGAACAAGAACTTAATACAGCACTTGATCACATCCTTGCTTGGGCTAAAACTAGGAAGATGAGACTGGCGGCTCAGAAGACGCAAGCCATCCTACTAACTAGGAAATTAAAATATGAAACTCCATCGTTATCCCTCGATAATAAAGCAATAACGTTCTCTAACAGCATAACAATCCTTGGACTCACGATAGACGCCAATCTCAACTTTGTAAAGCACGTAGACGTAGTAACGGAAAAGGCAATTCAGCTTTACAAAAAGGTCTCAAGAACGGCACGAGCCAATTGGGGTCTTAATTCTGAAATTCTCAGAACAATATACATAACAGTGGTCGAACCAACAGTCTTATATGCGGCGGGGGCATGGGGCACAACGGCCAATAAAAAGCAAATAAAAACAAGACTCGACAGAATCACCAGAATTTTTGCAATAATGGTTAGCAAAGCACACCGCACAGCATCTTTGATATCATGCACAACACTAGCCCGAATCATCCCATTAGATTTAAGAGCCCAAGAAAATGCTGAGATCTACATGATAAAGAGAGGCAAACCTATTTCGCATTTACCAGGCAGAACACTAACGAAACCAATAAGCCCTTACACGCTACCACACCCAGCAGACAGGACAAAACAACGGTTTGAACTGATAACATCTGAAAACGAAATAAAGGCTATTGGAAACGACTGGCCGTGCATATACACCGATGGCAGCAAAATCGCAGGTAAAGTAGGCGCTGCCATTACTTGTTGGGAGAATGGTAGAGAAATCCACAAGACCAAATTAAAACTCGGGAGCCACTGCAGTGTCTACCAAGCGGAACTTGCTGCCATCTTAAAAGCCACCGAAATAATGCTGCGTAGACACACTCTTAAGAAAGCAAATATCCTGAGTGATTCACGATCAGCTCTAGAATGCCTAACAAATCCTAACACCTTACACCCCATAGCAGCGGAAATTCTAGATCGCATCATGGAAATAGAAAGGCAACAGGGAAAAGTGAGCCTATATTGGATCAAAGCTCACTGCGGCATCCAGGGGAATGAAAGGGCTGACGAATTAGCTAAGTCGGCAGCGGAAACATCAAAACAGACACCGGTATACGATTGCTTCCCTCTGTCCTTCGCAAAGCGCCACATTAGGGACAACACTTTGATTATCTGGCAAGAACGGTACACAACATCAGACACAGGTAGAGTCACAAAGAAGTTCTTCCCAAACGTGACCCAGGCGTATACAACAATTAAGAAGATTGCAGTCAGTAACCTGAGGTGTCAAATTTTCACGGGACATGGGGGTTTTAAAGCATACTTACATAGATTTAAGTTAGCGCAGAGCCCATACTGTGATTGTGACCACCTAACACCACAGACCATAGAACACATTCTCATAGATTGCCCTAAATACGCAGCTTTAAGACTCTGTTGCGAACACCGCATGGGATTTGCGCTGAGAGAAGACACTCTCTGTAGGGCAGTCAACGACAATGACAGTCGAACTCATTTCCTTGAATTTGCCGAAAGGTGTCTGAGGAAAGTATTACAAGGAAATGGGTCCAAGATATATTAGCCTTAAGAAAATATAGTTGTAATAGCAATAGTTATAAGTAGGCAATAGTAACACTTAATCACAAAAGATGTAGATAAAAGCTTAGGCTTGATAACTATAGCACTTCTTACTGATGATTTGAAATTTAGACAATAAGAATAATACTGATTAACAGTACTTATGAAAATTAGAAATACTCTGGAGAAGTAGAAGATTTAAGTAGACAAAAGTTATTTAGTAATTAAGAACATCTAACATAATATAGTCAGTCACTAATATTGTATAGCAAGCATGTGATAACAAATACTTAGACAAAGGAAAAAAAAATGTAAAACTAGAAAGTAGCTTCATCAATCATCAGCTAGGAAAATAAGAAATTGTTATCCAAATAGAATATGTAGGAGTAATAGAAGTGTTTAGAAGCAAAGAATAGGAATAAGTGGCAAATAGAGTTAAGGAACAATGTACACTTAAAAAAAAAAATTAATAATAATAAAAAAAAAAGTATCAAAACTGATAGAATAAAATGTAAAAGATATAAAAGGTGCTGTAAAAGAAATAACAGCAGATGAAATGAGTAAATAAAAAAAAAAAAAAAAACCTAACCTAACCTAACCTAACCCAGTCTTACATATACAAGCAGCTTGCATGCGCGGCCAAGGTGACCTGGGGTCTCAATGGTGAGATTGTAAGGACAATATACGTTGCAGTCGTCGAACCTATAGTGATGTACGCTTCGAGCGCGTGGTCTTCAGCAACAGAACTACAGATGATTAAAGACCAACTTAACACGTTGCAAAGGGGCTTCGCGCAGAAGATCTGTAAAGCGTACCGCACGGTGTCGCTCACTTCCGCACTCGCCATCTCGGGTCTGCTTCCGCTAGACCTGAGAATACAAGAGGCGTCTAGCCTATACAAGACCAAGAAACAAGGCTCACTAGACTACTTACCACCAGGAAGAGAGCTTGAAAACCGTGTAAATCACTTGGACCAACCTCATCCCTCTAAACTCATCAAATTGGATTATGAGCTACTGGAAACGGTAGAAAAAACAAATCTCCACCAACTAACCGGCCCTCACATATACACAGATGGAAGCAAGATAGAAGGGAGGGTCGGAGCAGCCTTAACATGTTGGGAAGATGGCAGGGAGACCAGTAGTTCCACCTTTAGACTGGACCCATCCTGCACAGTTTTCCAGTCCGAGCTCTACGCCTTGCTCAGGGCAACCAAGCTAGCAGAATCAAGGACAGAACCTGTTATTAACATAATGAGCGACTCAAGATCTTCGCTCGATCTGCTAGCGAACCCTAAAGCAAGCCATCCCCTATCGAAAGCCATACAAGAAAGCATAGGGAAGATGAGAAAAGAGGGAAGAAAAATAAGACTATTCTGGTTGAGGGCCCATGTAGGCACGTCCGGAAATGAGAGAGCCCACGAGCTCGCCAAGACGGCGGCGCTCCGGGAAACAGCGACTCTAGACTATGACAAAATTCCCGTGTCCTATGTTAAAAAGAAAATCAGAGAGGAAACTGTTCGGATCTGGCAGGACAGATACGAGACCTCCACCACTGGGCATGTCACCAAAACATTCCTTCCGGATATAGCAAAAGCATACCGGATAGTGAGAAAAACCAAGTTGACACCCACACAGGTACTAGTGTTAACAGGACATGGTGGAATTGCGGAATACTTGCACCGCTTTAAATTAAAAGACACTCCAGGGTGCGAGTGCGACCCGAATGTTAGTGAGTCAGTGTGGCATGTGATTCTTGAGTGTCCCCGCTATCAAGCGGCACGTCTGGACCTTGAGTTCCGGATAAACGCCAGTCTTAATAAATCTGACCTACATAAAATAATCGAAGAAGATGACAAAAGGCACAAATTCCTGGCATTCGTGGAGTCCATCTTCCGCGCCGCTGCGAAGCGCAACGCCACAAACAATCCATCCCCCAGACAACAGCAAACTGTTGCGGAGTCTGCAGAAGTTTGCATAAAAGAGAAGAGCATCCCAGCCAATAAAATAGAACATCAGCTAATTGCATGCGCTGAAAGAGGCAATCCAGGCCTGAGAATTCGAGGAGTAGCTCTCTTCATGGATAACAACACAGAGCGTTTCGGGCTAAGCTTTTGCTCAACAGTGGGCCGAAACTATGTCAAAATCTCTCCTGGTCTCGCAAGCTTACTAAACGGCAGTACCTTCAAAACGAGCATGAAGCTCAAAACATACGATGCGCTAATTGAGATAGAAGTCGCCAACCAACGATGTCGAATAGTAAGGTCGAAAAACAAAACGATCTTGCTGTTCACATGGAGCGAACAGAAAACTCCATTCGCCCAGGCATGCTCACTGCTAACGAGACTCGGTGAGGTAGAGACAGTGGACATACCTCGCATCATAAGTGTGGACGCCATGGTGGTCTTGTATGAGAAAGGTGAAGTCGTGGACCACATTGGTTGCATAAAAGCCTCAAATAAACATGAAATAGTCGTGTATGAGGATAGGGGCGAAAACCTGAGCTACCTCAAACATCACGACTCGACTATGGCAACTCAACACCAAACAGCAAATCCAGAAACACTTAGTGGCTCAGAACGTCTGCAACTGAAAACGGCCCAAGAAAAGGCCGCAGCCAGAGAAAAAATTACCAAAAGTTCTGAGTCTCAAAGCGGGGTAAGTGCATTAATTAATACCATTAGTGCAGCGGCCCAAAGCATTCCAGGAAGAGCAATCCGAAAGTTAAAAAAGATAAGGCAAGCCGAAAACTTAATAAGAGAGCCTCCGAGAGTTCTCAAGAAATCCCAACCCACCTACACTAGACCCTGTTCGGGACGAGTCAGCCCGCCAAAGCTTCTACCGGCGATTGGGCCTAAGGACCACATAATCAACGCGTTCCTAGAGTTCAAAGCCCTCACAAAAGCAACTCTTGAGGTGAACCAAACGACTTGTAGGAACATCTTACAAAGTTTCCACCTCGGTAGTCAAGAGTTTCTTGAGGTGCAGCTCGAGGAGGCAGAGGCCGCAATTTATGACAACAAAACATCCACAGTCATAAGAGGTAAAATGGGTCATCACATGGCGGCTTATAGCGGGTCAGCGGGCTTTGTATCCTTGGAAGAGGAGGAGACGAAACGACAGGGTAGATTAGTATTCAAAACCCCCCCCCCAACGACCCTATTGTGGTCACCGCCCGTTGTACCAGGGTGATGCTAGAAGACAGGATCCTGAACATGGCGGAAGCCATCTCGAGAACCTGTGAAACGGGAGATCCTTGGGAAAGCTGGACGGTGCCGACAATAAATTGGGTCAATGGGGTCCCGGGGTGTGGAAAAACAACTTGGGTTATAAAACAATTCGATGCGGAGAATGACTTGATTGTCACTACAACAACAGAAGCAGCTAAAGAACTCAGGGGAAAATTAAGCAACCGCATTGGCACCGACGCAAAAACAAAAGTGCGCACTATGGCCTCAATTCTAGTAAATGGCATGAGAAGGCAAAACAGAAGATGCACTCGACTTTTAGTCGACGAAGCTCTCATGAACCATTTCGGGGCCATAGTAATGGCAATGCGACTGAGTGGAGCGGAAAAAATACTGCTCATCGGTGACATCAATCAACTTCCGTATATCGACAGGGAAAACCTCTTTGCGATGCAATATACTCGCCCAAGCCTCGTGACCACAATCAGCCAAGAACTCCTGTGTACGCACCGGAATCCGATGGAGGTGGCATATGCCCTGAGTGAAATTTACAATGGCATATATTCATCCAGATCTCAGGTGCATTCACTGGAAAGGAAAAGTTACACGGGAGTAGTCATTCCAGGTACCCTGCCAAATACTTTATATCTTGTATACACGCAAGCAGAAAAGGAGTCCCTTACAAGCCAGGGATATGGTTCGGGTCCTGGGTCGCGAATTTTAACCGTACATGAGGCCCAAGGCCTCACATACGGAACAGTGGTCATAATGAGGACAACAACAGAGAAGCACAAAATTTATGACAGCGTCCAACACGCAGTAGTGGCAGTGTCCAGGCACACAGTCTCCTGTGTATATTACACGGACGACTGCGACGATGCGACTGGAAGGCTGATTGAAAGCGCGATGGCTGCGACAACAAACAGAATTAAAGAATACAACCTAAAAATGGCACTAAGAAGCAGAGACGCAGCTGTCGTAGAGGCCCTGACAACGGCGAATTGATATGGCTAAAGACGGAGCGGTCTCCACGACGACCGAATAATAATAATGAAATAAGAAAAAAAAAGAAAGAAAAAAAAAGAATGTATATATTATAAAGTTAGGAACTAGATTATAAGTTAAAAGAAACAAAATGACACAAAAAAAAAATTACCAACGTATTTGTAATATCACTTATATATAATTAAAATAAGGTATAATAAAAATTTGTATGGTAAGTTAATAAAGCATGTTAGGAATTAGAATTAAAAAAAAAAAAGTAAAAGGAAAAAGAAACAAGAAATAAGGAGAAAAAAAGGCATGATATATTAAAAAAAAAGAAAAAAAAAAGAAAAAAAAATAATAATAATAATAAATAAAAAAAAAAACGTGAACTCACTGCTTAGGCTTAAGTAAATTTACTATACTAGTAGTGTAAGGAGTACAATGTAAAATAAAAAAAAAAAAGTTAATAAAGAAATATAAAGCGAAAAAAGGTACGGACCTCGAGTCTGTAGTGTAAACTTATTTATAATAAAAAAAAAAAAAACCTAACCCAGTCCGGTGTCAACTGCCGTCCCGAACGTCACGTTTCTGAGTTGCTCCGCGCTTAAAAATTCGCAAAAATAGGTTTTTCGCATCCGATTTTGGTGTTCTATATATCAAAAGATGCGCGTTGACGAGCGGTTTAATATAGTGTAAACCGCATGAAAATCGGAGTTTTGGTGAAAAAGTTATTGTGAAAATAGTGATTTTTAAAAAAGTGAAAAACTTCAAAGTGAAACGCTGCGTGATTAAGCGCTATTACATATACTTTTTAAAGTGCGGCCTTCAAG